AAGCACATTTATACACCTGATATGAGAGGTTTTCTAAAGGGACTCTGGTGCTCTGAAACACTACCACTTTAGTCCACAGGGGGCGTCAAAATCAAGACAAAGTTAAAGTTCCTTGTCGTAACTTTAACTTTGTGCGGGTATGTGTGTGTGTGTGGGTGTGTATGTGTGTGTGCGTGTGTGTGTGCATGTGTGTGTGCGTGTGTGTGTGTAGCTGCAGAAGGGAAGTACAGAGGTTTGGTCGACGTCCTGAGAACGCTGCTCCGAGAAGAAGGGCCTAAAGCTCTCTACAAGGGATTCAATGCAGTCTTTCTCCGAGCCTTCCCTGCCAACGCGGTAAACCTTTACTTATTATACTAATATATATATACTTTACTTATTTCTACTCCTTTACTTCCTGATAGCAAAAACAGCGTCATCTGTAACACCTGATCCCTTTCTTCCTCCCTCAGGCCTGTTTTTTGGGGTTTGAGGTGGCGTTAAAGGGACTGAACACACTCGCGCCCAGCTGGTGAAATAACTCATAACACATATAAGTGTTATGATGAGTCTGTGACCCCTCAGGACCAGTCAGGACCAGGCTGGATCAGTCTGGACCAGTCAGGACCAGTCAGGACCAGCCTGAACCAGTCAGGACCAGGCTGGATCAGCCTGAACCAGCCTGAACCAGTCAGGACCGGTCAGGACCAGTTTCTCATGGAAACCATGAGACACATTTTAGGACACTGAAATGTGATGAATTGTTGTATTCTTAAATGTTATTTTATATTTATATTTATATTAAAAATGAATTCTCCTTTGTAATGAAGACTTCACTGTTTGTGAGTAATGTTACAACGTAAATGCACACTTATGAATGTATAATTTTGAGATATTGCGTAATTATAAATATATGTTTTTTTGGGTGGAGGAGATCTGAGCCTTTTCTCACTTTTACTTGTGATGTTTGTGTCGTATAATGAATCTAGTACCATTCAGTTCAGAATGACTTTAATATGTGTTTAAACTACGAGCTATGCCAAAAAAAATCTGAAATAATTTGTTCTGTGTGTTTGGCCTCTTTTATAAAGCTTCTGATTAAAGGCTTTCAATAAAGTTTTGAATTTGCCATTTAAATAGCGTGAGTGTCCACTGGATTTACCAAGTGTCATGAGGACTTTGTCGTAATGTGTTTGGTAATTTGCACCATTAAAGCACGATAGAAAGAAACTATCAGGGTTTTCATTGCATCACATTTTGAGTTCTTGCTTGGAATGCCCTTTGTGTCATGAAACTAGTTTTAATAACTCACTATTTCAACAGGAACAGGGATCAACTTTAAGAGTTTATACTGTCAACCATTTTGAGAAATGAACAATCAAATGTTGGCCTTTGGTTGTGTGACAACCACTTTTAACATGTACATGCACCCTAAAATACATATCTATATGTTCACTATATGTTGCATTCGTGGTGTTTATATATTGCTCTTACAGTCAGAGCCAGAAACAGATTTAGTGTGTCTTCAAATCATTTGAAGACACACTAAATCTGTTTCTGGCACGAGCACTGCTCCTCCAAGAGAGGAACGAGGAAATATGTTTTAAGAGACATGAGACGTCTTTTCCTCAGGTGCGTCACGTGAAGCGACGTCTGTTTCTGATGACGGTGCTGATGATCACAGCTGATCAGCTGTCAGTCGGCTTTAACAGCTGGAGAGACTTTTGATAAGTTTGTCATGATGACAGTTGAAGGCACTCTGCATGCAACAGTAAGTTCTTTGTAAGGGCAGCTGCAGTGTGTACTCAATGTAAAGAGAAAAAGTGTGCAATCTGGAACGCAGCTATGATGTTATTTTTGAAACTCTGTTATAATAAGCAGACAATTCAACGAGAAACCGGTGACCTGCTGGACTCATTTTTGAGGCGTCTGTGAAGAACAGGACAACAGCTGCACTGTTATTAGTTTGTACAGCAGGAAATGAGAGTGGCCATGTTTACTGATGACACTATAATCTGTAAAGAATCAGATAAAACTAAAACTAAAAAGATTTTTGTTCCTCAACAGCGATGAAGCTTTTATTCTTTTGTTACAAGTCATCAACACCACTGTCCTCTGTGCTTTTAAACAGGCTTTAAACTGGATGTGATGGAACACTGTTTACTAAATAAAAGCAGGTATTCTTATTGTACTTGCTGGAATTGTACATTTGTATGCGTGGCCTCTTCTTCTTTTGAGAAGTTGCAAGTCCTACTACATTATTTAGGATGACAAATAATTTGATATGCTAATAAATGTACCATAATACTAAAAATAAATGTAGGTTTGTTTTATATATTTATTAATGTATTTCTTTTTTTTGTATTTATTTAAAGTGTATTTTAAAATGCATTCATACATTTTTGAATATATATGTATTTAGTTTTGTATTTAGTTTTTCGATTTTATTATTTTATAATAATTAACATGATAATAATTAAACTTATTTGTACTTACCACTTAACCACATATGATTGCGGATCAGATTTTACTGCGCATGCGTCGTGTTATGACGACCTCAACACGGAAACCGGCTTGTAAACTACATTAAAAACTATAAAATGGAACAAACACTATTCATGAAGCCGTAATCTCTGAAGACCAAGTGAAAAAACAAACCGGTGCTCACTGCAAACAGCAAATCTTCAACATTATTACGTTCAAACAGGCTTCTTCCCCGAAAGAAACCACAATACCCAAAACTCTGTGCGGTGACTTTTATTTCCGGGGTCAGGCAGCGCCTGTTTAGCAGATAGAGGAGAGGTAAATGTTTGATCTTGTGATGTTTTCTGTATTTCCCAAGTTATTAAAGTCTTTAAACAGATGCTGTGAAGCTAAGACGAAAACTTACCCTTTAATTTCACAGTTTATTCATTATTATTTTTTCTACAGTGTTACAGTTCTGTCTCTCAGAGCTGAATGTGTGAAAACTTAAGCTAGCAGCTAGCTTGCAGGCTAACGTCAGCTAGCTTGCAGGCTAACGTCAGCTAGCTTGCAGGCTAACGTCAGCTAGCTTGCAGGCTAACGTCATCTAGCTTGCAGGCTAACGTCAGCTAGCTTGCAGGCTAACGTCAGCTAGCTTGCAGGCTAACGTCAGCTAGCCTGCAGGCTAACGTCAGCTAGCCGCTGAACACACCTCTGAAGAAGATTGTGACCTTAGCTCACAGTCCACCGACAAGTACTTTGAGATACTTGTACTTTAATTGAGTATTTCCATGTTCTGCTACTCTGTACTTTTACTGAGGTAAATGTACTTTTTACTGTACTACATCTCAGAGGTAAATTTTGTACTTTATACTGTACTACATCTCAGAGGTAAATTTTGTACTTTATACTGTACTACATCTCAGAGGTACATATTGTACTCTTTACTGTACTACATCTCAGAGGAACATGTTTTACTTCACTAAATCTCA